GTATCTTACAAACAGCTTAGCATAGGAAGATGAAATTGCATCACAGCGTTAATGATGTCATGCGGATACAAATGCCACAGTTGTTACACGTTGCTACAAGTGACACCAATGTCTGATCAAGCACAGCATCTGTTCATAATGTGCTCCTCCAGCGTCCAGAATGCATTGTTTGCACGTGACAACGGATGTCATAACAACAACGCGTATCTCATCTGGTACATTGGCCAGTTACATCCTTGAGGGCTGAAATTTTGTGAGGCTTTTTACGGTATACATGTGACTTCACTTACCCCCACAACCAGATATAGACTGTTAATGTGAACGAGATGGCCATTCACAAAGAAAGTGATTTCTGTCCCGAAAGTGTTTCCGCAAGATATGATTCACCGGTAAGCAATAAGTGGAGGGGGACAATCCTGGATCAAAACTGTAGTGTTTTATTCGATGTCGAAGCATGGGAAAAACACTGGTGGTGGGCTTTCTATAGTACCGCCTACTAATGACTATGCAAGTTTCCAGTATCTGTGCTGATAGTTTTTCAAAGAGTAAGGTCCAATGATAAAGACAGCCGTGAGACCACAGCACGCCGTTACCTTAGTTTCATGAAGATGTACAGGAAATGTTACGTATGAATTAGGCTCCGACCATATAATTTAGTTTCACGTTGTGACAAGTCAAGACAGGGTGGAGTAAGCTACATCATTTCATTAGCAGGTCATTGGTCATCTTCCAGTCTTGCCAAGAACTGAGACGCAAAATCAGAAGGTAGCGTTAAATCTATCTCCTTCAATGCTTGAACATGGTGCAGCTTGTTAAAAAAAACATTCGCAAAGTTGACCGAAGAGCTTTACGAACAGTTGAAATTAGCTAATTCGGACACAGGGTAAAATTATGTGCACTGCTGCTGCAATCATGTGCGCTTGTTCTGGCTTGTTATACTTCGGAATGGTTGACTCCAGTGACAGTTTCGGTAGTTGTCGGTGGTCTAACTGTACATGGCTTATCACAAGTGCAACCTGTCTTTTGTCTTCTCGACTGTCTTTATGAACTTGCGCACAGCAACACTGGAACAAGAACCTCTGCAAATGTTAGGTGCTCTATAGTATACCCTGTGAGATTCCTCAGAATTTGGTGTAATAACATCACGTTAGTTCACTTCTGCATATTGTAACCACGATCAAAAGGCCATACTTATCACCGCGAACAAAAGGACCATTTATATCCATGAGAGGTATGCCATAGGAACTACGATGACATCCCTGGTGGTAACATGTGACAACTGTGGCATTTGCTTCAGCATGATATTCAACGTAAGTTCACCTTCCTATGCCATACTATTTGTAAGATAGGATGCGATGAACTGCGAAACTTTCTTTATAATCACCTTGTTCTGTTTCAAGCGTAAGTAAAACCAAAATTAAGAACAACATATTCTTATTTCTTGCATTTGGAGTTCAAATATCATGCTGTGTTGTAGACTACAGAGTGCATAATTCTACTCGTGATTCATGGTATGCGCACGTTTTACTGACGTTATGACAGGCAAACTGCAACGTTAAGCGTCCCTTATGTGACTTCAGTTTAGTGTCTACTGACTGACTGACAGATAACACACTACTGTGTACTGGTGCGAGTGGTTAAAACAAGTGACCACTACAAGCGGCTTTTGGCTCCCTTTCGGGGAAATTAAACCTGGTTTATTTGTCTGAAAGGATTGTTTTTATTGGCTTCTTACCCATATCTCTATAATTATGAATTTTGCAAAAAAAAAGAAAGAAAACAATTGAACTGGTCCAGCTTTTCCAATAGATTTATCATGTAATGTTGTTTCGCTTTTCGGTGGTATAAGTTGTAAAACAGAAACGTACTAGATGATAACAAAACCCTCAACCTGACTGACTAAGCGATGTGGTTTCAAGTAATAGTAGAGCTGGGCGTAGCCTGCTAGTTAATGTGCCGAGCTGTAGATCAGAAGGTTCAAGATTTGCGCTGAGATACCTCTGAGTACCTTACGCACTTTCAGTTGCGGGTGCTTTATAAGTGTGACAGCCAATACGGCGTTGTTTGGTTCAAAGCTGGACATGGTCATTGTAACGTTGGGTGCTGCTGGTTGGTTGCACGATGCCTAAACCACAAGGTCTCTGGCCTAGCCGTTTAGTTTATGTGCGCATAAAGTTAAAAATATGCCTATGAGCATTCAGGTTGAAAATACCAATAAATAACACCAACCATGACCAGCGCAACTAGTTTTTACAAGTTATGTGATTTAATAAGATGTTCTCATAAAACACTTTAAACCGCATCAAAGTGATGAATCAAAAATAAGGGATTTTCGCACAATGGGCATCTATGCGTAGCCATCCCGAAATTTGAACTGATAAACTAGAGGGAATACAGCTAACCAACAGCACCCACCACCAACTCTTGGGCTACTCTTGTCTGGACGAATAGTGAGATTTAACTGTCACTTTTATAGTGCATTCTCAGCCCCTAATTACGAAGTACGTTTTTGAAGCAACAGATGACGAACCATGAACCTTTGGATTCACAATTCGATCATGCATTAGAACACGTTTACTCTCCCAGGTGAGAAAATATGGCATGATAGAATATAAACTGGACAGCTTCAATGAAGGTATAGTGGAGTGGCGTATTTAAATAAAAGAGTACCAAGCTAAGTTCAAGGATAGATTTTTGGGCACCATTTTCTCTCACTAAACAAACAAACTAACAAGAACTGATATGCCTTGAAATGAGCATACCTCAGGCTAGATGCTATGCTTTCGGATTAAAAGTTTTACTTTTTCGAATACGAGAAAATAGAACTCAAATGTCTTCATTAATTTACTTTCTTTATGCTGTGCACAGGCATATCATTTATCAATTTTTGTTCTTTATGCTGTGCACAGGCATATAATTTATC